GTTCTGTACTTTGTTAATTTGTGTTACAAATGAAATGAATAAAGTAGTACTACTACTACTATTACTACTTTTGCGTTACCTCACAATACTTTTGCGTTCCCACGCAAAAGTTTGATTTGTATTTGAACTGAATTAAATCAGAGTTTTATTTTGAAATATCCGGTTACCAAAACAGGATGTGTCGCCACAAGTTTGTGAAATTGACACTGATGTTGTGTGGCTGAACTGTGTTAAAATATCAGCATATGACACACTTCCATGTGTGTCTGTGTGATTTATTCATTCTGTAGCTGAATTAAAGCAGCAGGCTAACTCGCTAATGATAAACATGTGAGTTTGTTAATAAACTGGCAGCACAACAGTGACAAACTCAAAGGTATTGCGAGGTAACACAATACTATTGCGTGGGAACACAAAAGAAAAAAAATCTCCCATGTCCCCCCCTTGCTCCGTAGTTCTATGCACAGTTAAGAAACTGCATATAACAAAATATTTAATATAAATCTAAGTGCAAGCAAGTAATAAAAGATAAAATAAAATAAGCATGCAACAATATGATAAAAGTATTATTAAACAGAAATATAAACAATACTATACCAATAAGCCAATGTTCACTGTTACCTGGTACTGGCATGTTTCGATTTAATGGCTACAACATTTTTAAAATCTAAAATAAATACAGAACCCATCTCAGTTACCTCCATCGTGTATATTTGTAATATTTTACTATAAACCTTTATTCTATTTTGTTTATTATATAAAGTTTATGCACTTTATTAGCAAGTTTTCGTATGTCTGTAGTCATCGTTCTCCTTATTTTAAAAAATAATATTGAAATAATGTGAAACTGAAACAAAGACATTATTTGAACTATAATTCCAAAACATCTCCAGTTTGCCTCCTTTCTACAAATTTGGGTTGTTTTCACACTGAAAAAGGTGACTGGTGATTGGTCAAAATAGCTAAAGTTCATATTTTTAACCTTATTTTAAGTAATTTTGTCTTTTGAAAACTGCAAATAGTTAAAGATATTTTTACATAAATTTATACAAAAAAACAACCCTCAGCTACTTGAAAAAAAAAAACGTTTTTAAACTTTCATAAAAACCTTAGTAAAAGTATGTTATCAGGACATTTTGTCTTATTTTAAGTCAACATATCTCACTCCACTGGCAAACGTTTTTTTCTTGACAAGTCAACATGACTCAAATATTATTTTTTGAGCAATCTTTACGTATCAGGATGGGTTAGAATGGAGGTTTTTTCTTTTCCATCCGAGTCAATGGATCAACATCATTCACACCATCACTCCTGTTTAACATTACCTGGAAGTGGCTGCATCACAAAAGGTGGTCTAATGGGTTACAAATTACCCCAGCACTGCCATTTGGCAGAAAAAAAGAGTCATTTGAAAAATGCTGGTGGTTCTATAAGTTTTTTGTGTTTCTGTTTTATTATTAATAACTGTTGATATAATCTAATGAATAAAATATAACTGTTAGTAACGTCTGTGTTACAACTAGTTTTATGGGTTCTGCTGACCTTTGATTTCTGCAGCACACCAGGACTTAAGAGCTACACCAAATCTCATGTTAAAACTGTTAAATTCTTTAACATTTTGGTCCTTAGTCAACAAAAACAAGACATAAATTAAACTTTAAGCATTCTTCACACGTAGGACGGGTCATCGTTTGATTCGGCTGGACCGGTCACTATAATGGGTCTAAATCTGGACCGGAACCTCACAAATCAGAGCCAGATTTTAACCTGAGCAGCGGAAGCCGGAGCCACACATGGAGGGGATTTTCTAACGGAGTCTGGTCATGATGAGGAGGGCTGTTCTTGCAGCCGGTAACCGTCCGGTACCGGAACGAGTGACGAGAAGAAAACCAACAACCAGAGAACCAACCACACTCCGGGTCTGCTTCCGCTCCAAGCCCGGACAGACCCGAGCTGGACCGGACTAAATGCACCCACACTCACCGTTTGGACCGGTTCTCCTCCGGTTCTCTGCAGGTCCAAAACACACCGAGTCAACTCTGCCGAACTGGACACGTGCGCCACAATTTCACCGGGAAATAAAGGTCCTTGTTTTTTTTTCCTCACGTCACGTGACTGAGTCAGCCAATGAGAAGTTAGAGGCGGGGTCACGTGGGTCAGCAGGGAGCGGTGTTTTTCCGGGTCCGGATTTGACGGCGGGACCATGATCCATGAAGGACCCAGAACCCATCACTGACAGCCGAACCGAACCGAACCGGTCAGTCCGTCATGTCCAAACAGAGAGGCGGGAAGACCCTGATCATCACAGACGGTGAGTCCAGTCCGGTCCGGTTCGGATCAGTTCTGATCAGACCCATGAGTGTCAGGTGGTTGGCTCTGGTCTGGTTCTGTTTGGGTTTCTGTTCTCAACATTTGGGTCAAACTTCTGATTTTAAAGTTCGGACATGTTATTGACCCGGTTCTGTGTTCAGATCCTGATCAGATCCGGGCCCGGTTCTGTGTACCGGACCGGTTCTCTTCTGTGTTCAGATGATGACGATGAGAAGCAGGTAGAGGAGCAGAACCCGTTCTCCTTTAAAGAGTTCCTGCGCTGGAAGAACCAGGACCAGAACCAGAACCAGGACCAGGACCAGGACCTGGACCAAACCCAGCAGGTATGCAGAACCAGAATCTCCAGCACAGGAAGAACTGGATCACATCTGTAGTAACATGTGTCTGCTCCTGTCTCAGACAGGTTCTGAAGACAGCTTCCTGTCAGAGGCTCACCTGGCAGCACAGGTACTGTGACGTCATCACCTCCCTGTGGGTCCACCTGGTGTTCACAGCTGGTACTACAGGTGTGATCTGTGCTTTCTGTCTGTCCAATAAGGAGGAGGAGTGGGGGCGGAGCTTCCTGTCTGGCATCGATAGCACCTCCTCCCTTTGCACCGAGGAGGAGGAGGAAGATGTGGAGGAGGAGACCAGGTGAGTCTCTTGCACATTGATGGAGTTCAGTTCTGACCCTGAATCCAACTGAAAACCTGGTACTGGTCCCTGAAACAAGATCAAGACTCAGATCTACAGCTGTTACAGTGTGTTGGTTACAGATGTTACCATATGTTACAGCTGTTATTACAACTGTTATTACAATGTTACAGCTGTTATTACAGCTGTTACAGTGTGTTAGTTACAGATGTTACCATATGTTACAGCTGTTAGTAACACATGTTATTACAACTGTTAGTGTGTTACAGGTGTTAACATATGTTACAGCTGTAATTACAGCTGTTAGTAACACATGTAATTACAGCTGTTACAGTGTGTTAGTTACAGATATTACCATATGTTACAACTGTTATTACAGCTGTTATTACAATGTTACAGCTGTTATTCCAGCTGTTATTACAATGTTACAGCTGTTACAACTGTTTGTAACACATGTTATTACAGCTGTTACAGTGTGTTAGTTACAGATGTTAACATATGTTACAGCTGTTATTACAATGGTACAGTTGTTGGTAAGACTTGTTATTGCAGATATTAGTAACTTATGTTTTAGTTGTTATAACAGCTGCATATGTTTCAGGTGTTTTATCTTTTTTATGTGTTTTTAAAGATAAAACTGTCCTCAGATCAAAGGTTTATTTATCTGCAGTGATGAGGATCAAAGTTAATCTGATATTTATTCAGTTGGTACAAAATAATAAATAAAAACATTTATAATAAAATTCATCTGCTTCACCAGGTTCTGCTCCAAACCTGAAGGAGCTGCAGCTGGAGGAGGAGGAGAGAACTATGAAGGAGACGATGAGACCTCCATGACTGAATCAGCCACCTGCAGGAGGAGAAGTGGGAGGAGCTTACAGTTCCAGCAGGTAAGCAGACAAGGCGGCGGTCTGCAGGGTGTCGCTCTGCATCACCTGACCCTGAAGGAGGAGTGTTTTTTGTCTCAGCTGAAGGAGGAGAACGTATTTCTGAGGAGAACCATCAGGGAGGTGCAGAGGAGCGCCCAGGTCAACCAGCGCAGGTCAGCACCGACCAATCACATCGCAGCACTTCCCTGTGTCACGGCGTGTTTACCCAGCATGCCTCTGTGCCTCCTCCTCCCTCTGCAGGGTGTCAGAGCTGTCAGAGGAGCTGCAGCAGAGGAGGCGGCAGGAGGAGAAGGAGGCGCAGGACCTGGAGAGCATGGTTCACTCTGTGGAGCAGAACCTGCAGCTGATGACGGTGAAACACGCAGCCAACGCCCACTTTTCTGATCACTGATTCACAAACCAGCTGATCGTGTGTGTGTGTGTGTGTGTGTGTGTGTGTGTGTGTGTGTGTGTGTGTG